CGGGCTACCTCAAGACTCTCGGCAACACGAACAAGGGTCTCTTCAACACCAGCGGGCGGGCGTACCCTGATGTCTCTGCCCAGGTGCGTGTATACGTTTCTCTTTAGGATTGTCGCTTAACTGACTCTCCAGGGTGAAAACGTCCAAATCGTATCGGGAGGCAGCACCGGGGGCGTTGACGGGACATCTGCCTCGTCGCCCATTTTCGCGAGTGTGATTGGGCTCATTAACGATGAGCTCATCGCGGGGGGCAAGTCACCGCTCGGGTTCCTCAACCCGTGGCTCTACGCGAATGCGGCCGCGTTCAACGATGTTGTGGATGGGAGCAATCCGGGATGCGGGACCGATGGATTCCGTGAGTGTCTTCCCACCTGTTTTCCTCTTTCTCGCTAACTTGGACCGCCAGCTGCGCTGGCCGGATGGGATCCAGTTACTGTACGTTTGATATATTCCTCGGGGGATGTGGCTAACCGTCTTTTCAGGGTCTCGGAACACCCAACTTTGCCGCGATGAGGACGGCTGCTGGGTTTTAATGCAGGAGGGCGTCTAATACATGTACATGTAGTTTTCACATAATGGATCTTTGGATGCTCTTGGAATATTGGCGCTGTGTGGGCGCTTAGCATTTCAGCTTTAACCACGATCTCCATGGTGACTTTCGACCCAGACTCTCAAAGCTCGATGATAGTCCAAGAGGTCTTATCCGGCCAGGAGAAGATCGTGTCCCACGAAGGGGCGAGCCAGTACCGCGGCGGTGGCATTGCGTCTTGCGGTCTGGCTGCGCTCAACTTTGTGAGGATCGTCCTGGCGAAAGTTGAAGAAGGCTTGAAAGACGAACGGCTTCTCGAAGCTGTGGTATCCGAGCGCACAAGCAATGTGGGTTACCGAGATTCTGCGTACGCGACGGAGCGTTGATTAGCCCAGGAGGTTATCTCCATCTGCGCAAGATGGCCCAGCAACTTGCACCTGGAAGTTGATGACATCTTCAACACGCCTCTATTCGAGAGGTCCTTGACCCTCGCGTCGTCCGTCTACAATGAACTTGGCTTTCATAAATTTCGGGAAATGCTTTTGTGAGTGGCACGATCCTATTTATCCTCATTCCCATTTTCATCTGTCCAGAAACCTCCAGTCTATGCCCGACGAATATGCAGCTGTCGTTGTAACACGGCCGCCTGAGATTATCGCACTCTACAAGCTCCCGGTCAAGGGAAAGACTGTTTTCATCATCTTTGACTCCCATCCAAGACCAGAGTACCCGCACGGTTCGGGGCTCATACTGAACACTTCTTTGGATGCCACTGCTGCGCGTCTCGACATGCTTCTGGCCCCTGTCGATGACCGCGTCCTGGCTGACAGCCTCCAGTGGCAAGTCGAGCTCCTCTCTCATTTTTCGGGCCACTACTTTGTCCCGAATGGCAACCCGGTGAACAGTGTCGCTGCTTTGACGCACTCTGTGATGGAGTCTAGCCTCGCTGTTCTTGCCCTGCGCGCAGAGGTTGCGGATCTCAAACGACAACGCCAGTTCATGCAGAGCGAGTTGGATAATTTGAAAGAACGACATGAAAGAAAACCACCGCTCAGTCCCAAATCTTCGAGGACGAAAACGGCTCCTCATCCTCAGCCAACCGCCGGCCCTTCAAAGTCGTCATCGTCCTCTTCACCGATCAATGCGCTCGATTATTTCAGGAGTTCTCCCGATGTCTCACGTCTCCATGGGTCCCGGGAGCCTACCCATGCGACACGAATGGATATAGACCCGCCTTCATCTACCTCACCAGGGAAACGTCGACACTCGAACCCACCTACATCCCCACCAATAGACGCCCTTGAATACTTCAAAAGTCCAAGCAACATTGTAATGCCGCGTCCAGCTCAGCGGCCAGAAATCGAGGACGACTACATGATTGCTGCGCGGTTACAGATGGATTGGGACAGGTCGCAGCACGAGAACACTCTCCAAGCGCAAGCGAAGCAGCGAGAGTTTGAAGAGGAAGATGCCCGTTTGATTGCAGAGCGGACAGGCCTGCAGATGCAGGTGCAAGCGACCTTCGAGTGCGGCGTCTGCTTCGACAAGTATCCTGAAGATTATATCGCACGAATCGTTGGCTGCAAGCACGATTTCTGTCGCGATTGTCTGCGTACGTATGTCATCTCCAAACTTGAAACTAAGCGGTATCCCATCCACTGTCCGTCGTGTCTGGCGGACGACAATTGTACCAAACCTGCAAGTATGTGCTGGCCTTTCCTGGCTGCGTCGAGATACTGACCAGAGTCAAGTGATCACGGACGACCTTGTTCAGACGCTGGGGCTCAACGACCAGCAGTATGAAATCCTCCAGGAACTCCAGATAGCATCGCTCTCGATTCTGATTCACTGCCGAAAGTGAGTTGATTGCTTTTCATCCACTACAGCGCTGAAGACTGGAGAAAAGATGCAAGGAATCGATCTTTGTCGACCGGGAAGAGCATGACGCGACGTCGATTCTTGCATGTCCCTTGCCCAGATGTGACCACGTCTGGTGCAAGGCATGCCAGCAAGCGATTGAACTGGGCGGTCCGACGCATTCTTGTGACGGCTCCTCCGAATTGGCACATCTAATGCAACTTTCGGGGTGGAAAAGTTGTCCAAGCTGCAAAACCGCGATTCAAAAGGTATCTGGGTGCAACCACATGACTGTAAGTCTGTGTCCTGACCGTCATCGTCTCTGCTGAAAGAAATGTATCTCGCAGTGCATCGCGCCGGGGTGCAACACGCATTTCTGTTATTTTTGCGGAGAGTCTATTGCCCAGACGGCTTTGCGGCGAGAGGTTCAGAGGGCTGTATCTGCACACTACAACCGTTGTACTTTATTCGAGGATGCATGAATGGACATCAGTTTACGTACCCCTTGCCCACTCAGTACTCAACCTACATGCCAAATTTGCCATTGGACTCCCTCTCGTGTTTGCCTCGTTTTTGCTGCGTGTCATCAATGCGATCTACAAGGAAATAGCCGGAGCACCATGTCTCCTGCTCTCATCTCCACAGTTACCCCTGATTCCACTCCCAAAGGACTGAGGCCCACCTCTATATTGCACCGGACGCCATGGATTCCCCCAATTGCTGTCTCCGCTCAAGGATCGTACATTCAACTAGAAAGTGGCCAGAAATTGCTTGATGGGGCCGGCGGAGCCGCCGTTACCTGCGTTGGCCATGGGCATCCTGCCGTTAATCAGGCGCTCAAAGACCAAATCGATCGCGTATCCTGTAAGTCGGCCAGTCTCTCGCGGTTCGCATCATTCCAATCGCACCAAGATGTGTACAATATGCAACTGTCCAATGAACCGGCGGAGGAGCTGGCCAAACTGTTGACAGAGACTTCCAACGGTGCTTTCGAATTGTGTGGTTTCGTTTCGGGAGGCTCAGAGGCCATGGAGGGCGTCATCAAGCTATCGCGCCAGGTCCGTCCCTTCACCCATGGATGATTTGGTCCACTCAATATCTGTAGTACTTCCACGAGACGGGACAACCCCAGCGAAACAAGTTTATCGCAAGGCAACTTTCTTTCCACGGCAACACAGTTGCGACTCTTTCTTTGGCGTACCATCCGACGCGCCGTGCACCGTATGCAGCGATTCTCGACGAGGAACACTTCCACCACGTGTCTCCCGCGTATGCAAAACGGTTCCAGCGCCCAGACGAGTCTGAGGAGGACTACGTCGAGCGTTTGCGTGCAGAGCTCGAAGCCAAATTCCTCGAGCTGGGACCGGATACAGTTATAGGCTGTAAGTTTGCCTGTATTCGTCTATTCTCAAGATTAAAATCCTGCTCAGTTGTTGCGGAGACTGTGGTTGGTGCGGCAAGTGGTGTTGTAGCCGCTCCAAAGGGGTATTTCAAGGCCATGAAGTCTGTATGCGACAAGTATGGAGCGCTGTTCATCCTTGACGAGGTACTTCGTTTTTCATTCCTTGAGTATCGCTGAAAAAATATAGGTCATGAGTGGGATGGGGCGTAAGTGCACATCAAGTCAATGAAATTACCCTGATTTATTGTGCAGGTATGGGTACGCTGCATGCTTGGCAATCCTTCGGGGACGGCGTCGCGGTACAATCTCACCCACCCGAGTCTACGGTTCCGCTGATTCAATTTCCAGCCCGACCTTCAAGCCGTTGCGAAGGGTCTCGGAGGCGGGTGAGTTGGGATGTTGTCCTTCTTTGCGAGGGAATTGACATGGTTACAGGTATGCCGCCATCGGTGCCGTCCTCATGTCGAAACGGATCGTAGCAGGACTGCGAGGTGCGTCCGGCTTGTGGAAGCACGGGCATACCTATCAGGTTTGTTTATTCGTTATTGAGATACCGAGTCAACTCATTTCTGCCAGGCAAATCCTCTGGCCTGTGCAGCGTCACTTGCGGTCCAAAAGGTCATCACGTCCGAGAATCTGCTGGAAAATTGCCGCACCCAGGGAGCTTACCTTGGTTCGTCATTCATTGATTCATTTCGTGTACTGACCGATCCCCAGAAAAGCTCCTGAAAGTGCGCTTGCAGGGACCCAACTCGCCCGCTGCGCCATTCACCTTTGACATTCGTGGCGGCGGTGGCTTCTGGGGCGTTGAATTCGACTTTGACTGCCCCGAGGCTGCGACGCTCGACTTGCGTGGACAGGGATTTGCCCTGCTGCTACAGGCTCGTGCGCTGGAGAACGGACTGGTTGTGATGGGTTTCACGGGCAGCGCCAGCCTGGACGGCACCAAGGGAGATGTGATAGTGTTGGCTCCTGCATACAACATCACCTCGGAGGAGGTGGAGAAGCTTGTACAGATATTTGGGGACTCTGTCGAAGGTGTTTTGGATGCTCATCGTGTGTAGAAATTTGTTGTATCTTTGAAGTCGAGTTACTGGAGCGAGAAGAAAGAAGAAAAATATAATTTGAAGCCAGCATTTTGCACGGAGAGAATGCGTCCTGACTTCGACGCGAGCGTGGGGCCTTTTGGGCCCGGGGCACGGAACCTATGGTTGTCACCTGGTAGAATCGAACCGCCGTCTCACCCTCGCTCACGCCCTGACGTGGGAAGGTGTGTTCTACCATTGAACTAAGGAGAAGACGGAAACCGTCCAAGCTTCGTGCTGGACATTGCCCTGGATGCAGGGTTGAATCACGGTGCCCACACTGGAACAAAAATGAATCAAAATCAAAATGGCCAGTCTACGTCGCGACTTTGTTTAGATAGGCACAGATAGCCCAGATAGCCTTAGATAGCCTTAGATTAGTCCCACTCGCCAATCTTCCCCACGGGGAACGGCTGCCATTGGCAGCATCTGCCAATCAACCCGTCGCGTGGTAGACGGAAGCAAAATTACTCCCGGTAGCTGAGGGTATTCACGTCCTTGGGCCATGGCCTGCAGAGGACCCCAAGACTCGATTGGCGTCCCTTGTCGCGTCCGAGACGTGTCAAAAGCGCTGAATCGGAATCAAATCAATCAAACCTCCCTTTTTCTTTTCCATCGACGCGACACCCTGCGTCAGGGCGTGAGCGAGGGTGAGACGGCGGTTCGATTCTACCAGGTGACAACCATAGGTTTGCCGTGCCCCGGGCCCAAAAGGCCCCGCGCTCGCGTCGAAGTCAGGACGCATTCTCTCCGTGCAAAATGCTGGCTTCATTATATTTTGCAACAATTGATTTTACTGGTCTTGTTCTCCTCGAGGCTGAAACAAACTTCTCTTCCCTCCGCACAAAAAGGTTTGACTGCATCTGCTCGCCATGTCACTCATCCTCTCCTTGGAGTTCAAGCCCATTGAGGACGCGAATGGTCACAAATTCAACGGATTGCTCCAGGTGCGGCTTATCTTCATTTTAACGTCCTTTCAGGCTTGAAGCTGAACCGCATGCAGCTTGCGATGGGGCGGCAGCGATAGAGGTGCGCCGAAACTGAACGCGCCACTGTCGAAGATACTTATGCGGCTCCAAGATGGACTAGAACACCGCCCGACGGAGGTCCGTTTTATTCCATCTCGTCCATGCTCCCAGTCATTGAAGCGTCTGCAGGTGGCTTGTTCCTTTTCTTTGGCTTGGGATTTCGTGCCATGAAGGGCGTGGAGCATCCCCTCCCTCCTCACCGCTCGGCTGGGACTGCAAATTCAAAGATACATACGAAGGGACCATGACGGACCTGGCGATCTTCAAGTTGTCGTGTTCCTCGACCCTTTACCCGTCAAGCTGATGCCTTGGACTGGGAACTGCAGAGAAAGAGATTGGATATCAGGGTCATCAGACGTGTCCTGTTGCCCACCCCCGAGCGACTATTTGTGCCAACGAAAACGTCTCAAATTTTGTTAATAATTTAGAATAAAAAGGTAATAAGCTGGGGAAAGAAATGTTCTCAACGAGCATCCGTTCAAGCCCTCTTGGCCACATTCCAAGCAGTAATCCAACTCTTCATCGACGCCAAACCCTGCTGCTGCACAGCAAGAACACTCGGATTCGCCGTTCCCTCTGCAGTTGCTGGAGAAATTGGCATCAGCAATTAAAGATATCCGGCCCAGAGATGCAACACACAAAGATCAGCACAGTGGTATCCCTCCCCGACAGCAATCGGCTGAGACGGCGTGCTCTTGAGGATGACGCCCGGAGCCGAGACAGTCGAGTACCTCCACGGATCACGCTCTCCATTCGCAAAGAACAGATTTGAAACAGTGACGTTCCACCCGTCGTACAGCTGGTTAGTCCGTGCCGTCTGGACGTTTGGCGGCTGCGGGAACGCCTCGGGGAACATTTGTTGACATTGACGCAGATCGTACCCTGGTTGGATCAATTGGGACACCAGACTCGGGTTGGCAGGCGGTGCGGACTCTTGGAGGTACCCGACTTCGTTGCATCTACGCAAAAGTCAGCACAGGGAACATCATTGAAATGCAGTACGAACACGATCCAGAACCCTACCGAGGGTGTCAGCCGAGCCACAAACAAAAATCATGAACGTACAAGAGCGGGTGGCATCATCTATACTTGTATCGGTCCAGATGGACTGAGAAGTGTTGTGCGTCCCCAAGCAATCCCTGTCAAGCCCGAGTGAGAAACGCAGCAAATTTGCACATTCGGGACACTTACTCGGCATCCTCATCTCCACAAACTAAGTATAAAAATGTCGGCAAGTAGCCAAACTGACAAACTAATCCACTTACTCGACGCCAAATATGTCTCGGTCCAGAACGAAGACCACGCAGAAAGCGCATGGTCGACACCCCAGCCACTCGCAGGCGCATTCACTCCGTTCTTTACCTCAAGGGCGTCGCAGAACTGAAAGAATATACCGCCAGCGCCATCAGCAAGTGACAAATTCTGCCAATCAAAAAGATTCTCCCGCAGCGAACCCGCAACGTCATCCAAGTGAGTCATGTCGCCCATCCCGAAAGACTCTTTGATCTCTTGAATAGCAGTCTGGTTCGTCCCGGTGAATACCTAACCAATAGACTCAGAACAACATCAAGAGAAACCGAGATGAAGATAAAGCGAACCTGGTCAAGATGCGAAATGACAGCCTTGATATCCGCAGAGCAATTGGCCGCCATGAACAACCGCTCTGGCTCAAAGTACTCCCAAAAATCCAAAATTGCCTCAACGACAGCGCTAGATGCGTAGCCCGCAGCAAACAACCCTGGCTTGTTCACCATGGTCCAGCTGGTGAGCGCACCAGAATAGCTTCCGCCAATGAGAATCCACGGCGTTGTCGAGGGCTTGAGGTTACCCCCGTTCGGCATCGGGAGGACGACGTTCTGGGTAAAGTATTCGAGGTCGTCGATGGCTTGTTGGATGGTGTGGAGCCGGAGACTGTTGACGCTGAGGTCCGGCAAAGGGTTACTTCAGAAAGAATACAATTAGTGTGGACGAGAGATACGGCACGTCCCAACCTCAATCCAAAGAACCGGTGCTCAAGGACGATAGTTGCGCCGTTTTCCTGCTGGGCGATTTGCCCGTTTATCGACCTGTTGGTGAGGTATCCGGTGTAGGCTGGTCGTTTGGTGTCAGGGAAGCGTTCTTAGTTTTGACAGAAAACTCACGAGCGGCGTTGACTTCGCCGGGGGTGTTCAAAATGATAGGACCACCTTCAGGACGCTCAGTGATTGACTCAGAAAGAAGTCTGAATCCGAACCCGGTTCATAGAACTCGTAGGTATGCCAATACCTCTGCGCAAAAGTCCCCAGAGAAGGCTGTAAACGAAAGGTTTCATTGATGTATCTTCAAAATAAGAATCCCACTCACGTTATTGTGGTCGATGAGCTGCTGGAAAGTGTATCTACATCATACTTGGTGTCAGCGTCCACGAGGTCTCATCTGGCACGTACATGGTATCGTACGGCGGCAGAACGGTCCCATTCCTACTGGTCACAGGCGCAGTGCTTTCCTCCAGAGGCACGACTGGCACGACTGGCATCGGGGGGAAGTTTGCCCGCCTGGCCGAGACCAGGGAAACAAAGCATGTGGCGAAAAGCGAGAGCTTGATGAGGGGAAGCATATTGGCCTTGACCTCGAGGGGGAAGGGGACACTGCAGGCTGTTTATCATATGTATCCTCATATACCAGCTGGCGGTTTCGCGAATGCGGCGAGAAGTCTCGGACCACCGCATGACCACCATAGTACGCGACCTCGACGATATTGTTGCGACTCCGAGATCACCATTGGGCGCCGAGCGAATGAATGTTCAATGGACTAAATGTTGTTGGTAGTCGAGCAGCGTCGCAATCTTGAGAAAGGAAGGCGGCAATCCGGGATAGTGACGGTATTCACGAAAACGATGAGCTATCGCCTGAGAAACGTTTTTGCGAAATGGAAGGACAGAGCACATGCAGGCTTTAACACGGGAGGAAGTGGCCAACATTCGAAGCCATAAAGGTCCCGGCCGTGCGCGCCAACGGGCGGTGCCGCGTATGGGTCTCCTGGGATTCGATTTTTCGGGCGGGGTCAGGAGGGGCGAAGATATGTAGCTGCGGTGTTGTGGAAAGAAAGAAGAACGCAGATCGATCAAACGCCATTGTATTGCCAAATGCTATTCAATGCCGCCGATCCAACTGCACCACCGATCCGAAGACGCGTTGAAGGAAGGAAGGAAGGAAGGAATTGACCGGCACAAGGTCCTGCATCGGAACGGCCGGGGCCCGTACTACATAAACAAGGCGTCGGAGTGTATGCTACGGATGTACCTAATTTGTGAACTAGCCCGAATCTAATCTACCACTCCCTCGGCGTGCACCCGCCCGGCACTGAAGTCAAAGCAGGGTACACACCTGGAGGGAGTCTCCCGATTTCCTCTGGCTCCAACGCACTGGCAGGCGCGATCTTGTTGTCGTGACTGGGGTGAATGAGTGACGTCTCTGAGGCGATTGGCGTGGAACATACGCTTTCAAGTACGCCTTGCCAGCCGCCTTGAGCAGGGGATTGAAGAACGGGGCAAGGAAACTCGCGACTGCCGATGTATCCCGTGCTTTGTACATCCACCATGCTCTCAAGAACATGTAGAAACCGTCCTCGGACACGCTACCGAGGTCGGGATCGTTATCTCCGATCCACTTGGTCACAACCTGCCGGCTTTGCACGATGTTCGCGATAGTCTGAAAAGATACGAGGGATGAACTCTCAGAGTGCTTCCCGTAACTGACGACTCGCTTACCTGGAAGTAGCCAACGGGCTTGCCGTGCAGGTGGGGCAGCGCGAGGAGGAACAAGGCACGGCAGAAGATGGCCAGGCCGGCGAATTTATACGTGTCGTATGACACAGTGGCACCTTCCTCTTCATCGTCGCCATCGTTTAGAGACTGCGGCCAGGCGTCGTCGGGGAGGTACGGAAGCAGGGGTGTGCTGGCAAGCCGGGCTGCTTCACGAGCTAGGGCGAGCTTGGAGAAGACTGCTTTCCTAAGCGTAGTACGAAATTGGGGAGGGGTGAGGGTATCGCGGTCGCGTTGTGGCATGTTCCTGGTTTGAAAGAAGGGGAATGATCACGGGCTCTGATTGACACTCCGCCCACATAACCTGCGGACCATGGCGAGCGAGCTGGAATTGGAAACAATTTTGCTTCCGTCGGAGCCACGCGCCGACTGATTGGCAGATGCTGTCAACGACAGCCGGGGATGATTGCCCAGTCTGGCAGTTGCCTCAGAACGCCATTGCCGACACGGCTACTGCGCCGTTCTTTGTTCCCTGCTGCAATGCCATGCAAGAACGGTGGATGTTTTCGTCGTCTCCTTAGTTCAGTGGCAGAACGCACCTTCCCACGTCAGGGCGTGAGCGTGAGGTTCAAGAGGCGGAGGTTCGATTCCTCCAGGAGACAAATCATCGGTTTGCCGGGCCCCGGGCCAAAAGCCCCGCGTCCGCGTCGAAGTCAGGACGTAGTCTCTCCCTGCAATGCTGGCTTCATTATATTTTCTTTTTCTAACGGGTTATTCTTTGGAGCCTAGATTTACAGAATTTTCTACACACGATGAGCATCCAAAACACCTTCGACAGAGTCCCCGAATATCTCTACAAGCTTCTCCACCTCCTCCGAGGTAATGTTGTATGCAGGAGCCAACACTATCACATCTCCCTTGGTGCCGTCCAGGCTGGCGCTGCCCGTGAAACCCATCACAACCAGCCCGTTCTCCAGCGCACGAGCCTGTAGCAGCAGGGCAAACGCCTGTCCACGCAAGTCGAGCGTCGCAGCCTCGGGGCAGTCAAAGTCGAATTCAACGCCCCAGAACCCTCCGCCACCACGAATGTCAAAGGTGAATGGCGCAGCGGGCGAGTTGGGTCCTTGCAAGCGAGCTTTAAGGAGCTTTTCTGGAGATCGGTCAGTACAAGAAATGAATGGATGAACGACGAACCAAGGTAAGCTCCCTGGGTGCGACAATTTTCCAGCAGATTCTCGGACGTGATGACCTTTTGGACCGCAAGCGACGCTGCACAGGCCAGAGGATTTGCCTGGCAGAAATGAGTTGACTCGGTATGTATCTAAAGAACACACAAACCTGGTACGTATGCCCGTGCTTCCACAAGCCGGACGCACCTCGCAGTCCTGCTACGATCCGTTTGGACACGAGGACGGCACCGATGGGCGCATAGCCGAAACCCATACCCTCCTGCCCATCGAGGCCGCCACATTGAGCAGCTGCCCGGGTGCATCAAAACCCTCCACGACGCCGCTCGCAGGTCTATCAAGACGGGGGTCTAGCACAAGGGCCCCAGCGCAAGGAGACGGAAAACTCCAAGGTCCAATAAAACGCAGTCCCAGACGGTGAAAATGATTTCTCCGTCCCCAAGCGATCGTGGACACGCAGTTCGTCATTAACCCTCGTTCTCCATTCCCGCAGGTTGTAGGACGCACCCGAGCTCGTTTACGCACGAGATCCCCAGCGAATCGTCCGCCGCTCGCCCTGGAGAGAACGATATGGAAGTCCCTTTTCGTGGACATGGAATTCTCGAATTCGACATCGGCTTGAGCGAAACAGAAACGTGCCCCGCCTTTCAATAGATGAAATTGTCCTATCCTGTGCGCAAGGTGTGAATACGAGACGCGGAATCGGAATGCACATACATTCGCCCACCTTGTCCCGATGATTTCCCATGCGGGGGTCCTGCCTACACCGACCACAGGCGTATTGTCGGTGGCGTAGCCCATCCGGTTGACGCGGATAATGTACCAATGGCGCCCGAGAGTGAGGATACGTTCCACGAAGTATGAAAGCGACTCGCAGGTACTGTTCGGGCCAGTATGGCTGACGCTCGAGTCCAAGAGACATTCATTCCGCACGGCCTGCTTCTGAGTCCTGAATGCGTGAGCCCATCATGTAGTCTCCCCGACAGTGTTCTTGTGGACGCGCGACATGGCAAGAAGATCCATTCTTGACGCTTCGCAGAGAGCCAAAAGTTGTCGTCAAGTTTGAGCGCTTGAGCAGGAAACATAAGATGGTTACATCTGGCAAGGCTCCTGGCTGAGATAATTGACCTATCCACAGGAAGGGCTGTGGTCGTAAGAGAATCTCATCTTCACATGAACTTTGCTGCAAGTGATGGGCGTGAAAAAACAGTACTCATGTAGCATGACCTGCCGTTCTCAACCATGGATGCATATTTTTTGGTGCGAGGCATACAAAAGACATGTAGGTAAAAGGCCTATGCCTCGGCGGCACGCTTCCGACGGAGATCTCTCTCCTCGGAGATGGTGAGCTTGGTACCCTTGCCCTTGGGGAGAGATATCCACGCCTTGTTGCCCTCGCCGATAACAAAGATGTTGGTGACACTGAGAAGCAATGAGATGAGAGAAAAAATACCAAGGAAGAGACATACCGAGTAGCAAAGGTGCGGTCGAGCGAGTCCTTGACGTGGACAATGTCAAAGCCACCGATGTGCTTCTCGCGATGGACGATGACGCCGGCACGGCCCATGTTGCGACCACCAGTGATGATGCACATGTTGCCAGTGTCGAATTTGACAAAGTCTGTGATCTTGCCCTGCTCGAGATCGAACTTGACGGTGTCGTTGACCTGGATGGCGGGGTCGGGATAACGAATGGTGCGGCCGTCGTGGGTGACGACATTGGGGACACCACGGGCACCGAGGGAGACCTTGCGGACCTTGAGCAGCTTGTAGGTAGCCTCCTCGGGGGTGATGCGGTGGATGGTGAAGCGGCCCTTGACGTCGTAGAGGAGACGGAAGTGCTCGCCCGACTTTTCGATCGAGACGACGTCCATGAAGCCAGCCGGGAACGTCGGGTCAGTCCGCACTTTTGCGTCGATTTTGATGAGACGCTGCTTGACGATGGACAGCACCTCCTTGCCCGTCAGCGCATACTTTAGACGGTTGCGCAGGAAGACCGTCAGAGGGAGGGATTCCCGCAGCTTGTGGGGACCGGGGGAAGGGCGGGGAGCCTGCAGGATGTGAGTGAGGAATTCGTGTAGAAAAGACGCAGCACGCACGTAGGTGCCGCTAAGCTTGTCGAGCATCCACGACGACGGGGCATTCAGCCGCTTCAAGTGCTTTTTCGGTCCTCGGGCCTACAAAAAAGTCAGTATCCACTACGACACGCGCATGACGGGCTAACCATGTTGTTGAATTAGTGTCGGCCTGGCGGGGGAGGCGGCGAGAAAACTCTTCGAGAGGTGTTTGAGGAAGAAAGGTCCAAGATCAGAAAAGAACTACGCAGCACCAATCAGATGGCGTCGCCGGAGTCGGCATCCGAATTTGGAATCGCAGTTGCCGATAGATGCGTCACTTGATGGAATGATGGAATCAATCGGATGACAGTCGCTCCAGGACCCAACCACTATGTAAGAGCACGAATGGACCGATGCTACGACATATTTTGTACCAAACGCGCGCGTCTCTTCAATCACTGTTCCAGGGCGTTCCAGCACCAGCTCCTTGAGCCAACTCCTCGCAGAGCATCTGAACCAGGCTGCGCAGGGCTGCGCTCGTCATCGTCTATGGGTAAGTATCCCGACATGTCCAGAGGCGTTGATTTCGAGGTCTTGAGATGAAAAAGGAGCGCGCGAACCAGGATTCCATCTTCGTAAGTAACTTGAACTTTCCAACACCCTTGATTAATTGTCGGCTCTGTCCTCAGCATATCCTACCCTGATTTATGGTCATGTCGAAATTGCTTCCAAACCCGCCGTTTCTGTATCATGATGCCTCCAAGTACTCTTCTCGTCCAGTTCTCCAGTTTCCACTGCTTCAAGTTGGTTGGAACAAACGAATTCGAACAAGCCATGAATCATTGCTGACAGCCTGAATCTCGAATCAAGCCACTATGTCGACCACCTCTGGCGACACCTTTTGCCATACATGCAACATCTCACCCCACACCCGATCCTCTGCCTCGAACCCAGATGGAGTCAACGTCCAGGCAGGGGTCTGCGACATGTTCAGCACGAAAAAAGAAGAGAACGAGAACAGGTACGTACGGGCGCACTTGGCACGAACGGATATATGATCCTGATGGCGTGCCAGCGAGGACAGCGTAGAGCACGTTCAGAGAGCCCTTGGCGCAGCTGAAAGCCATCAGCCGAAAGACCGCCCTGACAAAATACAGTCAATTTCGGTCACAGGTGGGAAATGGTTGTATACATCGCGATGGCTGACAAGCCCAAATCTCGACCAATTTCCGAAGAGCACAAGCCGGGATCGACAGCACTATAGAAATTGGGTAAGTGGCATGTTGATCAATTGACAAACTCACTTGACGACAATTCCATCTGCCTTGCTCAACTTTGCAATCTTTCGCGTAAAGAACAGCTCGAAAAGTTTTGTCGTGGTGTATTGATCTATGAAATCGCGTCCGGCTTCGACGTTCATGGCTTCAAGAATCTTTGGCGCCGATTTGTCGCGGAACTTTGCAAGAAAGATGCCTATTGGACCAGTTACTCAGAAACACATCCAAGAAATCCGAACGGCGGACCCTCGGAGCTGGTGAACGTTAAATGCGGCGCCATTGCGAAAGAGTTCGCTTCTGGGGCCGGAAGTTTCGAGGTGGTTTGCAAAATTGGAAGCAACAACACTCCGAGCAGCCCCGTAGCCAGACCGTTGATTTGCAGCCTACAACGACAGTTCATGCATTCCTCTCAGAAAGTGCTGAACTCACATGTTCTCCCAGCCATCTGGGGTCAAGCCTCAAGTCCAAGTGTTGATTCCTGCGTTCAACACAGCACCATCCAAACGATCGAGTGAAGAGTTGGCTCGTTCCGCAAACTTGTTCACACTCTCGAACCGCGCCATATCGAGTTCCCAAACCTCTAACGCCCCCGAGAATCCAGTTTGGGCAATGATCTCCTTCTTCGCTGCCTCGCCTTTTCCTAGGTCGCGTACACCGAGGATAAGCCGTGCCGGATTCCGGCGAGCAAGATGGACTGCGAGGGCGAAACCGACTCCGGTGTTGCTTCCAGTTACGATAAAGGTACGACCGGTGAGGTCAGCCTGAGTTTCCGTTAATTTCGCGAAGAGATGGTTGAAAAGGAATCTGAGAGCGGCCATGATGCGTCGTCTCTGTGGACCAGGAGAGTATGTACTTAAAACATATCTGCACGCACTACCTCCGGAATCCATACGGAAACACTCAATTGACGACGCGGCACAGCGCGCGGCGCCGGCAAACGCGAGTTCAAACAGAGCCAAGGCAGTCGAAATTGCACCATGTGTACATATACACCTGTCGTGGCTCCTGGAGAGTCCGAGATAGTTGCAATCCTGGTTGAATCCTGTTGAATCGAGGTTCGAGTTGGGTTCAAGCTCAAGGTTAGCTCGCTTGATTGACAGATACTGCCAATCAATTTTCGGTCGAGTGTGTTTCTTTCAGAT